GGGACTGGTGAGGGCTGTTGTAGAGTGCTACGCAGAGCAGGCCGAGGGAGAAGATGTCGGCAGAGACAGTGAGGTTGGAGTCAACAGCAAAGTCGGGGGAGGTGTAGTCCAGGTTTAGCTGTACGGTACGGGGAAGCCTCGGGTCGGGATGGAGGACCTCGGAGAGGGCAATGGGGCGGAAGGATGTCGTCTTGTCCGAGTCCTGCGGTGGGCTGCAAAATGCAAGACCGCTGATCTTCCAGTCTCCCTATTGTGTATGTTTAGCACAGATCGGAAACAGGCGTATATCATTATCCAAACCCACCTTGGCATTGATCAGAACGGCATCAGGGGTCAAGTTGCCATGTACGAGGCCGGCATTCTCGTGCAGAAACTCCAAGGCCTTGCTGATCTGGAGAAGGCCCTTTTGGATCTCGAGCTCGTCAATCTCCAGCTCCCGCCGCCTCCGAGTGCCATCTGCATCTTCCGTGACATAGCGGCTAGCTCGGCCGCCGACGCCACCACTCCGTTCCTGGTCGTCCTTCTCCTGCAGCAGGCTCGCGAGCGAGGCCGTCACGGGCTCCGTGACAAACTGAAGGCCGCCACCCCTTGTTTCTTCGACGGGCTCGACGAGCTCGAGGACGCTTGGATGTCGAAGGCGGGCCAGCGAGGAGGCCTCCTTTTTCAGGCGCTCGAGAACCTCGGCGACGACGGTCTTGAAGGCGGCGGCTCCAGACCGGCTCAGCTCCTTGCTGTGGGCATCGATCGACTTTTTGTCAAAGACAAAGACCGAGTACTCCTTGCCGGTCGACTTCTTCTTGGCACTGTAGATCTTCCAGGGCCCGGCGACGGATGTGATGGTGGGCGAGACCTGGTAGTTGGCCGTGATGTTGGTGGCCGAGATGGATTTTAACGCGTTGGAAAACATGGCTGGGGTTGTTCGGGGCGGCCTGTCGCAGGCACAATGGTTCGCATCGCTCTGTTATCGTTTGCTCGCTCGCGACTTGTGGTGTCTTGGGCGCATAGGGGCCTGTCGAGGAAGGCGATGGAGTGGGGTTCTTGGGTGTTCTGGGGGAAGGGGAGTGGTGGTTAGCAGTGTGGTTCCCGAGAATATCGCGACAAGTCTCACCAGTTGGATGATAATCGCCGGGGCTGATGGCCTCCAGCAAGCCGTAAGACCGGTAGTTGCGCAATTGTCTGGGCAAGCTGAGCAAGCTCCAAACAGCTGGCCTTGGGCGCTGCAGCTTTTCCCCAGCTTGTGTTTCGCCAGCTCCGTCGTGGACGCTTGGCAAGGCTGAAGGTTCCAGTGGCCCACTGGTCCACGCTTCAGTGGGTGCCGCAGCGTCATTGGGCGCTGTGTGATGGAGTCTCAGCGCTGTCGCAAAGCGGCAAAGGTCCCTGCAGCGAGCCCCGGGCTGCTCGACCGCGACGCGGGACGCCCGCTTATCAGCGGCTGGGCCGGGACCTAGCGGAATTGATTTCAGATGAGGCCTGATTGGGCGAATTAGGATGCAACTCGACCTCCGATACACCTCCGAATATTTTGTCGACCGCAGACGGGAGGCACGCCCTGAACTGGACAAGTACGTAGGAAAAACAGCCAGAGCCAGTCCTTCGAGCAGCGAGCTTCCACGGCGAGACAGCCAGCCCTTTTTGGTGACACTTATACCCCTTTCTCCCCTGGCCTGGCCGATAGCACCTGTCACCAAGGAGAGTCAATTGTTCCTGGCTACCTAGCTTCCGAGCTCGCTGTCTCTGTCCCCCTCCGCCGACACCATGATGCGCCCAATCCTTGCGAGGGGCGCTGCTCGATGCGCTTCTCAGTGCGCTCCCCTTAGAGCCACGGTGCCGCCAGCTTCGCGGGTGCTCCTCGGAACATCGACATGGCGCCCAACCCGCCAGTACAGCATCAAGGCCAAGGCCGCCGAAAGCACCAAGCCCCAGGACTTGGACTCTAGCAAGCTCACTATCGAGAAGACGACCAAGCCCAAGCCGCTCAAGAAGGCCGAGGAGCTGGTCTTTGGCCAAACCTTTACAGGTGCGCTCCTCCCCCTCCGCAACCGACCATGACTCCCCCGCTGACCATGCCCCCCCAGACCACATGCTCTCCATCGAGTGGAACAAGGACGCCGGGTGGCTCGCGCCCAAGATCACGCCCTACCAGAACCTCTCGCTGGACCCGGCCTCGTCCGTCTTCCACTACGCCTTTGAGTGCTTCGAGGGCATGAAGGCCTACAAGGACAAGGCCGGCCAGATCCGCCTCTTCCGCCCGGACCGCAACATGGAGCGCCTCAACAAGTCGGCCGCGCGCATCGCCCTGCCCAACTTCAACCCCAACACCCTCCTCGACCTCATCGCCCAGCTCGTCAAGGTTGACAGCCGCTTCATCCCCGAGCAGCGCGGCTACTCGCTCTACCTCCGGCCCACCATGATCGGCACGCAAAAGACGCTCGGCGTCGGCGCCCCCGGCTCCGCCCTCCTCTACGTCATCGCCTCTCCCGTCGGGCCCTACTACCCGACGGGCTTCAAGGCCATCTCGCTCGAGGCGACCGATTACGCCGTGCGCGCCTGGCCCGGCGGCGTCGGCGACAAGAAGCTCGGCGCCAACTACGCCCCCTGCATCGTGCCGCAGCGCGAGGCCATGAGCCGCGGCTTCCAGCAGAACCTGTGGCTCTTTGGCGAGGAGCAGTTCGTCACCGAGGTCGGCACCATGAACATGTTTGTCGCCCTCCGCAACAAGGAGACGGGCGCCAAGGAGCTGCTCACGGCGCCCCTCGACGGCACCATCCTCGAGGGCGTCACGCGCGACTCGGTGCTGTCGCTGGCGCGCGAGAAGCTGGCGCCCGAGGGCTGGAGCATCATCGAGCGCAAGTACACGATGCAGGAGCTGAGCGACGCGGCTGACGAGGGCCGCTTCATTGAGGCGTTCGGCTCGGGCACCGCCGCGATTGTCAGCCCGGTGCGGTCCATCAGCTGGAAGGGCAAGCTGGTGGACTGCGGCCTGAAGGCGCATGAGGAGTCGGGGGAGCTGGCGACCAAGATGAAGAACTGGATCGAGGCGCGGCAATATGGCGATGAGGAGCACGAGTGGAGCTATACCTGCTGAGCGGGCCAAAAGGGGTGGGGATATCCGAAGATGTACATAGTAGACGGGAGCGATGTTTGGAGCGCTTATACAATCTGATTTCGACTGCTTTTGTATACCTAACTTTTTGGCCCGGGTATCGTATTCCGGCGCACATTCGATGTCAATAACTCTTTACCCAGGCAGTAATCCGTATGTTCAACGAGAGATATTGACCAAAGAGTAGGGTAAAAGAGAAACAACCCTGCAAAGGACATGTACGTGTAATTGTTCCGTTGTCTCGTTCTTCCTCCGTCTAATGAAAGAGGCCAAGGGGTACGACACAGAGTTCGACCCAGCCCCGTAAAGTATGTGCAAAGCCCACCCAATCAATCCCCCCATCAACGCACCCAACTCCACCCCCCCTACTCGCACGACGACATGACGAGCAGCAGCCCCGAGCCCAGCTCACTTCTTCTCGGGAAACGGGTCCTCCAAGATCCCCTCGGCCTCTAACCGCCTCCTGGCCTCCTCAAGAGCCCACGTCTGGATTCTGTATCCCCCTCTGTCAGCCCCAAACCACACACCAACGAAAGAGAAGAAGCAAAGACTCACGAGGTATCGGGCTTGAACGCATACGCCACCGCAAACACCCCCAGCGACCCGTAGAACCCGTAGAAGAACATGTTCTCCCACCCCTCCTTCTCGTACTTCTCGCCCGGCTTGACGCCAAACAGCCAGCCCGTCGGGGCGTCGTAGTGCGCGCCGCCGCCGGCGCGGCGGGCCGTGGTCGAGAAGGGCGCGGTGCTGCGCGCCGTGGCGAGCGCCGAGGGGCGCGCCGCCGCGGCGCGGAGGCAGGCGCTGGCCGGGCGGAGGTTGGGCATTTTCGCTGCTGGTACTGTTGCGGCGGGGGTGGGGGTTAATTGGGGGGTCTGGTTGTTGCGTGTTGAGGTGAGGGTTGCGAGGAGGGATGGGGGTGGGCGGATTGGAGGGAGGAGGATGAGGTTTGGAGGATGAGGAGCGGGGGGCGGTACCTTGACGCAGTCGTCGTCGTCCAGCCGAGTTGGGTGTGTCGCGGGGTGCGCGAAGAGTGGAGAGGCGGCGGTGGTGGTGGTTGCTGTGGATTGAGCTTTGCGGCGGCAACGGCTGTTGAGGTGACGAGGTGTTTCCGGGAGCCGGAGGTGCGCGATCTGGTCACGTGCGCGAGGTCTGGGCGGCGGGGATGTCGATGGGTGAGATACCCTAACCCTGGGGACTGGGGGATGACTTCACCTTGACAGACTCTCGACGACGGCGGGAGGGTTGTTGAGAAGAACATTGTCGCTTGGCTTCAAAACAAAGTGATGGATGATCTCATCTCTAGTCATTCCGTTTATTCCCACCTGGGCAACCATGGTAGCTAGGACTCTGCTATTCTCTTGCTGACGGTCTACGCCCTTTCCTAACTCCTGACACAACACCTACACTCGAAGTCGGGAAGTCTAGGTAGGTGTCCAGCTTGAACGATATTCAAACGTGGTATGGATCAGATGACTGGGGATGGACACGCTCTTGCTATATCGACCCGAGATATTCCCAGTTGATACACTCGGACGCTACCGGAACAGAGACACGGCTTCATTTGCTTCGTTACCACCCCCATCAACCACATACGACCATACCCACTGGAAAGCTCGGGATCCCGTCCGCTCTCCCATAGATAACCCAGTAAGGGCCAAACTAGTAGTTGGGTCGGTGACGACCAGCGAATCCTTGGTGTTGTATGTTTTTTGCCTCCTTTTTGCTCCCGGTCGCCCTTGTCTTCATTTTCTCGGCATCCCGGGAGCAAGACTTTAACGCCGGGTCACCTGGAACGGACTGGGTGCCCATTCCCCATAACAAAAAAAACAACAACTCCATCTCTCCAGGATTGCAAGAAAAAGGAAGGCTCAGTTCAGGAATAGCAAAAATAAAGAGATGCGTCAGCCGCGAATCGAACGCGGGGCCCATCGAAGTTGATCCTGATATTCAGGAATGGCAACGATGGATTTTACCACTAAACCACTGACGCTTGTTGTGTGTTGACTTTGGTGGAGATCGTGACTCGTAATGGGCTACATCATCCTGGACAGAAGGCACTCATGAGAACTGTGCTCAGGACCTCGCCCTTTACCCATAACTACCAACCCACCTAAGAGGTCTTTATCCTGTCTTAGTTGCAATGAAAAAGAATGCTTGGTATCTTGACGAAAAGTGGAATCCAACCGCAAACCAGAAACACCTCACCCACCCCTCTTCAACTTCAAAATGTCCCCCAACTTGAGCGTCCCCTTCGCTCCCCATCCCGCCTGTCCTCCATCCACCTCCGGTCGGACAGCCGTATACCACGCCCACGCCCTCCTATCCAGCTCCGCTGGCATGAGATGGTCCGCCCAGCTGTCAAACACGATCCTCAACGCCCCCAGCAACAATCCCAGATTCTCAGCCTTCTCGGCCTCGATCGCCTTAGCCGTCATCTTCTTCTTCGCCGGCGACTTGCCCGCCCCCTCCCCTTCCACCTCCGCCGTCCCAAAGCTCTTGAGCAGATACCCCCTCGCCCCCTCCGGCGCATGGATCGACATCCCCACCACATGCCGACTCGCCGCCGCCGCCGCCCCGCCATACACCCCGCTACTCGCCGCCGCCGCCTTGGCCCTCGCCGCCTCCAGATCCAGCCCCCAGACGGCCTCGCCCCCGAGCGCAATCTCGTGCCCGCTCTTCCGCAGCCGCTCCCCCAGCACGTTGGTCACGCAGTTGCGCATCAGCCGCCACCGGTCCGGGCCGAGCATGATGCCGCCGAACCACCGGCTCAGCACGACGAGGGTGTCGACGGCGCCGACCTCGCGCATGACGCGCAGCATCAGGTCGCCGCACCCGGTCTCGCCGTCGTCGAACGAGTCCTCGCGGAGGCGGCCGGTGGCGGTGCAGCGGAAGGCCCAGGCGTTGTGCGTGGCGCTGCGGAGCTTGGGGTTGGCGGCGAGGAGGGACTGCACGATGAAGGCGCGCTTGCTGGGGTCGGTCAGGTGGATGGCGCGGGCGACAAAGGTGGACTGTTTGAGGGAGATGGGCTGGCTGACGATCCAGGGGTGGCGGGTCTGGGTTTGGGAGAAGATGGGGGCGAGCTGGACGGTAGATTGGGTTGCGAATTGGGATTGGGACTGAGGGGTTGGGTCTTGGGTTTGGGTGTCTGGTATGGTTTGAGTGTCTGGTATGATCTGGGTGTCTGGTATGGTCTGGGTTTGGGTGTCTGGTATGGCTTGGGATTGAGTGTCTGGTATGGTTTGGGTTTGGGTTTCCGCGTCGTCCTCTTTGGAACTGCCGACTTCTTCGTCGCCTTTCCATTCGTAACCGCCGCGTTTGAGGACGGCGATTTCGCGGCCGAGGACTTTGACTCGTGGTTGACCCTCTCCCCAGCCCTCTTGGTCGGCACTGGCACCCTTTTCCAGGCCGATGCTCACAGCTTTGGACCGCGAGTTGGCGCTGACGACGGCCTGGCCAAGACTTAACCGACTGGAAAGGGGTTGCTCGGGCATCGTATATCGAAGCAACTCGACCGCAAACGCCAGCACAAGCGGGGCGCGGTTGGTCTGAAGGACGGTCTTTGCGATGCGGTCTTCATCCATGCACAGTGGGAGCTCGAGGGAGCGCTCCAGCTCTTGCGGGGTCATCTCTGTCGGACCGCCCATGAGGTTGGACCCCTTTAGGCGTTTTGAGGACGGTGAAGATGTCGATGGCGAGGGCGCAGTCCTTTTGTTGCCTCCTCCCGATCCCGGACTGAAGTCACCACGCTTGACGGCAGCCTTGCAGGCGGACTGCAGCGTTCGTGCCGTCTTTGGGTCGGTGAGGGCGGATTCGACGGTTGACAGTGGTGCTTCAGCAATGTCTTGGATACTGGGATGGTGAGTCAAGGCAGTGTTTCGAGACCATGCCTGGCCCGAGTTTGTTGACTTTTAAAGGGGCTCACCTTTTGAGGTTCATAGCTTGAAGAGACTTGATGTGTCCCATGGCCTGGAGTATGGGGATTTTGCGTCCGACAGTGAGCAGACGCAGCAGGTCTTGTAGGTCCTGCTGCGACGCCATGGCTGCGGAGGATTTTCGTCGATTCGGAAGATGGTGGTTGTACAGATGCGCTGTGCTTGCAGGAGGAGCGAGAGGGGGAGTGGTGTTGTGAACAGTGAGCTCGGGAGCCTGGAGCCTGGAGGTGTGAGTGTGAGTGACGACGATTGCCGAGAAGGAGAAGCAAGACCCCTGTCATGCCAAGACAGCGACGAAGCTTCCCCGGATCGTGGGCCGAGCAAGCTGCGGAAGAGTGGGTCCCGACTCCCCTTTAAACTTTTGGATTTGACAACTTGACCACAAACGGGATTTCTCACTCACCATCCCTCAACGACAGGCCTCCCCATTCCACTGGACGGGTGCCCTATATTCAAGCTTCGCAATGGCACCTTGAAGTGCATTGTCATCCACCTACCTCCACCATGGCTGCCCGCATCGCCCCGAGCAGCCTCTGGCTGGCCTCCTACCTCCGAGCTACACAGCGCCCTGTATCGTCCCTCCTCGTGCCCAGGTCCACGTCACAGTTGAAGGCCATATACAGCACCAGACATGGCTCCTTACGGGCCTTCAGCCTCTCTTCTTCCTTCCACGCGAAGCCCAAGGCACAGAAACCACGTCAACCGGGTCAACCACCTCACCCTCCATCACCATCACCAAAGTCCACTCAACCCCCACCCAACCCTCCATCCAAACTCATCCGCCCCTACCGCCCAGTCACCCCTCCCCCTCCCCCTCCCCCTCCCCCTGGCCCCATAACCCCCATAGTGACCAAGGCAGAAGCCCGCCAAGCCCGCTTCTACCGCATCTTCAGCGGCCCCTTCAAGTACTTCGGCTACTGCTTCTTCGCCTACCTCGGTCTCTCGTTCGGCATGTTCACATTCCACCTCGTCTCCGCGCCCCCCTTCCACGACGAATCCTCCACCCCCAACGGCGCCCACCCAACCGGCCAACCCGCCGACCTCCGCCAGGAAGCCCCCTTGACCCCCGAGGAGCTCTACCTCAAAGCCTCCATCTTCAACACCGAGATCACGGCCGACGAGCGCATCTCGGGCATCTCGGGCCTCCGCAAGCGCCTCGCCCACCGCGTGTGCGGCGACGTCCTCGAAGTCGCCTCCGGCACCGGCCGCAACTTTGGCTACTACGACTGGAGCGGCATCGCCTCCCCCGCCGCGTCCAAGGAGGAGGAGCAGGACAGGGAGGAGGCCATGACCTCCTTCACCGCCGTCGACATCTCGGACGGGATGCTCCTCTTCTCGCGCAACGAGCTGCGCGCCCTCGTGCCCGGCCTCAAGGCCATGCTGGTCGCGCGCCGCACCGATCCGCTCCCCGCCGTCAGCGGCCCGGTCCTCGACGTGCTCGACGGGAGGGTGAGGTTGTTCAAGGGGGATGCGCAGGACGCGGCGCTCCCTGCGCCGCCGAACGCGGACCAGAAGTACTACGACACGGTGGTCCAGACGTTTGGGCTGTGCAGCGTGTCGGATCCGGTGAAGCTGCTGGCGAACCTGGCGACGGCGGTGCGCCCCGGGACGGGGAGGATCCTGCTGATGGATCACGGGAGGGGGTGGTGGGAGCGGTTCAACAGGGCGTATCTGGATCGGTTGGCGGTGGGTCACTTTAGGAAGTACGGGTGCTGGTGGAATCGGGATATCGAGGCGTTGGTGGAAGAGGCGGCGAAGACGGTGCCGGGGCTGGAGATTGTGGAGGTCAAGAGGCCGTGGTGGCCGATGCATTTGGGAACGACGTGCATTACCGAATTGAGGGTGAGGGCGGAAGGGGAGAGGGGTCCTTAGAAGAAGTGTGGTAGTCGTGAGAAGGGGTGGACGCTGGAGGAAGATGAGGAGCGGAAGCGAGGACGATGGCAGTGATATGCCTGGCGTCAAAGACAACCAGGACGGCCAGTTACGATCCATGAAAAATCCCATCTCCAACAGCCAACATAACCCCACGGGCAAGCACACATACAGCAGAAATAAGCAGAAAAGTGTATCTTTGAACGCGTCATCGTCGTCAAGCGTCTGCCGCAGCCGCAGCTCGCCGGTAAGTAGTGTTACAATATCCAAGAAGCCCCTCTTACTCATTCTTCTTCTTCCCCAGATTGTATCCAACCACCTCGCCAGCTCCCGAGGTCACGCCCAGTCTTCCTTCATCCATCCCGCAGTATAAATCCCGAAATGTCCAGGAGAGAGCCCAGCCCGCCCTACCGACCGACCGACCGACCGACTAGAGAAAAGCAAACAGGTATCACCCTATATTTGTTTCCATCCCAGCCCCGCGTACACACACAAACCTTTCTCCTTTTCCCACCCCCCCCCTCTTCAGCCTTTTCATATATCCCCATCTAGGACCGACCACCTTTTTTTGTTTCCGTTCCCCTCCACCCCCCCCCCCCTTTTTCCCTCCTCATCAAGACCCAGACCGCGACGACTGTCGGTGGCTCGCCTTTTCGAGCATCGCCACCGCAGCCAAACGCGTCGTCCATCCGGCAATTCTTTCTAAACCAAAGAAGAGAAAAGTGGAAGACAGTCGTCCCCGCCAACGAGAGCCGTCGTCATCGCCTACTTTCGAGGGCGAGATAAGCTCCCGACTGACGGGGGACAGACAAAAAAGAAGAAGAGGGGTGTTTTTCCAAAAAAAAAAAAAAGCCAGACGCTGGAAACCCCCGAGAAAAAGATAAAAAAGCCATGCGGATGAAGCCACGAGAAAATCATGAACCAGCCCCCCAACCATCGTGATATCCAAAAACGCCCCGATCCGACCGCCCCCCCGATCCCCAACCGCCAGCCCATATCAGCTAAGTCCTTGAAACGCCGAGACCCAGCTTCGTCTATGGGTATGTGCTGAAAAGCAAACCGTGGCCGCCCACCCCAAACCGACAAAGAGAAAAAAAAGGAGAAAAAAGCCAGACTAGCTCGAGAAGACGAAAGAGAGAAAAAAGCGCGAAATGCCGCACCCAACAACATCAACCATCGTACACAC